CTTGTGCGTGGTTTATACAAATTTAAAAAATCACCACAGTCAGGGGCAGCCTGGAAATCTGTTCTCTGCTGTACTAGTGCCATGAAATATTGTATGTCCAGAATTCCTGTTGCCTGGGGCTTTGTCTCAGGCACTCTGGAAACCCAGAACTCGGAATTTGTATGAAGAATGTCAGTTCTGTGTCAGCTGGCTTTGATCTAACCACTCGGGAGAGGCGGCCTATATGGAGGGAGGTCTCGTAACATACTACACATGTATGAGTGATTCAGGTGTGTAGAAGTACCGCGTACACCAGCGTGGGGGTGGAAAATCCTCCCCTTCTTGACTTCCCTGAACCTTTCTCTCACTTGCCTCTGCTCAGAGCTGCTAGATTTGGTCACATGTTAGGATGTAGAGGTACATCCAACCGTATCCTGCTTTTTTGGGGAACTGATTTAGTTAAACAGATTATACATCTTTTTCCTAGAACACAACGTGAAATCTAGCTTGTATATTTTTAAGGCAAACAGACTTTCCGGCTCCACTAAATGTAGATACCAGATATGCACATTTTGAGTTTTTCTACACGGAAACTATACTCGTGCCTCAAATCTAGGCCGCCGGGGAATGGCAGCGAATCCCACCCTATCTTACTCTAAGATCCCTTTCGTGGCCGTCATGTCAGTTCAGCCCTAACTGTCATCTAACGCTAAAAATAGGAATCCTTTTGTGCCACATTCTCATTATTCGACATGTAATGCTGCTTTGCCAATTAAATAAAACTAAGCTTAACACATTAATTAAAAAAATTACTTTTACTTGTAGGACACTGGTATATACCACAGTGTAACACATAGTTATGGCATGGGTCTGATTTCATCAAGAGATTTTGTTGACCTGCTGCATGTTAAACCATATCCTGGTGATATCCTTACAACTAACTGTAAGTTGCATGTAACTGCTGCATGTTTTCACATTTTGGCTGCATTCTGGGAATCCTAAGGTGGAAATCCTAATCGCAGCATAAAGTACCTTGCTCCGTGTTAACATCAGTAAGATAAAATAAACAGTCCCCTCCTGTTTGTGCCCAAAACAAAGCTATCGGGTTTTTTTAACACTGAAAGTATCAAAATTTGTGAAAATGCTGTGTTCTTTGTTTAGTCTCCTATTATGCCTCTATTTGACAAATAAAAAAATACCACAGTAGTATGAGGAAGCTAGAATTTATTATTTTACTACGTAAGTTCAGTGTTATATTTAATAACACTTTTCTGTACTTAGGTGGCTTCCTGACCACGTGCTGCTTGCCTAACGTGCTCTTCTCAGAGTGAACTTGCTAGTTTGCCCCCTGTTTGATTCTTTCTCTGTAAACTGACACACAATGTAAAACGATTACTATGACAACTATATGGCCTGCCAGGAAAATATCTCACTGCTACTTCATTTCTGTGCTCATCTTTTTCCTCTGTGTGGATCTCAGTGCATGGCAGAAAACAACATTGTTCATCTTGGAACTTTACTGACCCATCAGTGTTTTTCAGGCCATACTCGTAAAATACTTTTATTATGCAAAAGTAATAGATCACTAAACAGAACAACCCCTCCCTACTACTACTGTGAATGTACGAAGCAGTTTCCTCATCTGCTCTGCAACTGTGTTTGCCAATTAACGACATCTGCTGACAAACTGACTTCTTTGTCCGGCACCAAGCCACACCTCAGCACTTAGGTAGGCGTAATCACGTCTCAAGGATAATACGCTTGGGTGTACCTGCCCAAACATCTCTAGGAAGCTTTACGTGCGTTGAATTATTTGCACGAGTATTTACTGTCCTTTAGGTGTTTTGTGTACGGAATGGAACTGCTAACCAGATCAGTGACCATGCTGCGAGATCTCGTACTGCCCTGTAGTAGTTGGCTTGGTTTTACACGGTATTTTTGAGTTGTGTGATTGACATATATAAACATACTTTGATTTTGCTTTTCGTGTGTGGTGCCTTCCAGCTGTCAGTGTGGAATACTCCAACTGCCCTCCAACTCCCTCTTGTGTCCGAGGCTACAACAATCCCTGTGGATATGTGTGTTCACCTCTGCCTGAGTAAGTATTCAACGCCGCGTTGTGCTGGCACCTTTGGTTACTCAGTTGTCTTCTCTGTACAAAGCCTAACATCTACTGAACCACACAGCTTTTTTTTTTAATTTTTAAAATTTTATTTATACTGTTTTATTCTGGAGAAATGTTACAGTTTTGTGACTCGGACTGTCCTTTGAAACAATTGAAACCTCCACTTTTCCATATTAGTGATTTGGACAGGGATGGACTATAAACTGTAAACATTTGCACATCTCAGTAAGTTTCGCAGGAACAGCAACGGGTGTCATCTGAAGGATTTTGCTTCTTTCACCACAGGAATCCAGAGCATTCTAAGCTAGTTGTATTTATTCAGCCACAACTTGGAGGAATGCTTCCCTGTTCTGTAGTGGAGACAGTATTACCTACTACTCTCATAAACCTAATCACCGAAACAAGAGCTGGACTAAAAAGCTTGGAAGACCGTAATTAAGTGTAAGTGGAATATAATAAGCACTTAAGTCATGTGCATCTTTCCCTTGGATTCATTTTAAAAGCAGACGATGAAGTTTAATTGCGGTTAATGTGGAAATGTGTAGCGCTTAACTGTTAAAATGGTGAATGCTGGTTTTCTCTGTTCTTGGGGATGATGAAAGAATTTACACTGAAAGCCATCAAAGTACAGGATGTCCCGTTCAGTGTAATCAGGTGATGTTTTGTAATATTTTTGCACTTTATATGCAGAGAATATATATATACACACACACGAGAATCTGGTGATAAAAATTATAGCAATGTTAAAGTACAGTAGTCAAGTATTTTTCCATAGCTTTAAACACACTTTAATACATTCTTACCTCAACTATGTACTCTTGCCTGAGAAAAGTGAACATCTTGTGTGCTAGAGACTTTAATAAACGTCTTCATTAATGAAGTGTGCAACTATAATTAGCAACTATTTCACTGTTTTTGGAATTAAATATTTGAAGAAAAGCCTGGTGAAGTTTGTATACAGCATCTCATTAAAAACTGCTCTTTATACACAGAGTTGTTTGTCCTTTTCTGAGCAACAAGCCTAACCAATTGTTATATGCTGACTAATTACCAGGAACAAGCTGGTGATCAGTGATACTGGTGATACTTTATTTGGAAGCGGTGTTTCCCATTCCCCCTTGCTCTTCCTAGTTCCTCTACTTACAAGTTAACTGCAGGAAATAGTGATAGCCACGTGAGCAGCAATTTCCATTACCAATCACAGAAACCGTGGTGCAAAGCAAAGAACAGTGTGAAAATTGCTTTTGTCTTCTCTGCTCAGTCCCCTCCCAAGTTCTTAGAAACTGTTAATGCCACACATAGTGTAACTCACTGAAAATGAAAGTAAAAATTCCTTCCCCCGCCCCAACCCCCATCAGCGTGATAAAGTATTAATAGTGAATAATTAAGTATGTTGGCAGACTATAATTTTAGGACAACTAAAGATTCATCAGATAAGTGCCAATTTATAAGAAAAAAAAAAGACAGACCAGAGTCTCCAGCAGGTTTTCCATCAGAAGTTGTCAAAATACATTTTTAATATTCACATCTTTACATTTTACATTAAACTTCTAATAACTAAAGTGCCTTACAGTGTCGATTCTTACAGTGTCACTATTAGGAAAAGTGTTTCACTGTGGTTTAAAATACTTCAGCAAACTGTTAGACTGTGATGAACATGGTGCTGTATTCCTTCTTCCTTTGCTTGTTTTGGCCTTTCTAGGGGGTTTGGCCGTCAAAGTTTTGGACACAGGTTCCCGATTCTTCCATTCAGCTAGCAGTTCTTTTTGCACATCTGCAGGTAGTTCATAAAAAGTCTCTGTGTCAACATCAGGAGGAAACACAATTCCTTCCTGCCTGCTGTAAGTTTTATCCTCAGGAGTTATTTCAAGGGGCTGGCTATCTCTGCGCAAGACGGGGACTGGCAGAACAGCCTGGCTGTCTCCAGCTTCCGGAGAGGACAGATCTCTCCAGCTGATGTTCAGTGAGGCAGTAGGTTGTTCTTCCATACTGCTGCTCGTCAGTGCCCTTCCAGGATACTCGGAAGAACGACCGGCCCTGGAGCTGTGCGCCACAGCGGCTGCAGACTCGTGAGCGGGCGTGAGATGTGTGCTGCACCCTGCGGAGTCCGCATCGCTGTTTGGTCCCTCAACATCCGGGGTGGCGCTCTGCCCCTCTTCTGCGAAACACGCTGATGGCTGACCTGTCACAGTCTCAGAAGGGATCGCTTCTGTGCTCCCAGAAATAATTTCTTTCTGAATATCTTCTGGAAGTTCCCTGAAGACTTCCTGGTCAATATCACCATGAGACAAATGGAATGGGAAGTCAGGTATTCCTGCTTCATTTGCATTGCTTTTCTTTTCCTCTGAAAGTTTCATGGTTTTTGTAGTTCCAGTTTCTTTGCGGTTCTGGCCCTCTCTTTGTGAGACATCTTCCACTTCCTGTGGCAAAAACCGTACATAAAAGCATAAGTATGTTCTGAGTAATCTGCTAGTGACCCACCACTGTTTCACTTTAACAGGTTCCTGGAATTATTCCTTCATAGACGGTATGATCGTTAGTGTCTTGTTAAATCTTATTTTCAAACGCAGACCTTAAAAAGTACATACATGTAGGAATCCTTATTTTAAAGCAGCAAATACCGTGAAGTTGTGTTTTATTGCTTTAAATGTGGAGCTTTAGAATACATGGTAGATTGATAGGCAGAACTGCTGTGCCAGGAAACACTTAAGTTCATTGCACTATGTAATTCTGAAGTTACTAAGTTGTTTTATTGTGCACTGAAAGCATCTTGTGGAAATACTTGGAGCGTTTCCACAGGCAGCTCCTACACCGTCCAGCATACGCAGCTGGGAGGAAG